AAATCTTGCGGGCGGTGGAGAGTTACCACACGACTTTTACTACACAATTGTCTATCGCCCTTTTTTTGTAGATGGTTACGATGTTGGCATCCTTCATTTGCCGTGATACTATGCCAGTGGTCCACATTCGAAGAATGAAATTATGCAGCCACTGAAAGAGACGGAGACCACCTTTGCGGGGATGCTGTCTGGTCCTGCCGTTTTTTTTATTCCTTTGGCAGCTGACAAAATCTCGTCAAAAGGATAGGTTTTGGTAGGGTTTCGATCAATGTCGGATCCACCGGGTTGATGCAGTTCAACAAATCACCAGAGTGCTCGGCCCGACGTGATACTATTCCCTCAAGCTCTAATCAATGCAGCACCATCTTTTGGCTTAACTGGATAAACAGTGCTTGGCTGATTCATAGACAGATTTGATAGCCGTATAATCATTGGGTGTTTTTCTGTTCACCATCATCTGTTTTCCATGCAACGCAGCACCTGCAAAACCTTTACATGTGATTCTTTTTATGAAAGATAAAGACTGGGTGAGTCTGGATTGCAGTTTGCTGAACCTGTTTTTATGGGCTTTATTTTTTTGCAAAAGATCAAGAATGCCAAGTTGATTCTTATTAAACCAGTCCTGATGCTTTCTTGCAGAAAATCCAAGAACCTTCGTAGCTGTTGACTGTGCAAGAGCTGATTATTGACCATTCATGATCATTGAAGGTACACCAGTAGCTTGTTGAGATACTGTAGACAGCTCAAGATGTTTAGTGAGTTCTTCCTGAAGTTTTTTCTGTTTTATCAAGTTTTGGCAAGCCCCGATGTTTAGATTTTCACCAGGACTCTGTCTACAAGTTGGTTGAGTGGGTTAATTTATTTGGAAATTTGGATACGACAAGGCGATGATCAGTCCAATTCTCTAATAGCTCATGTATAATTAACGTCGGTGACATAGTATTGTTCCCAAAAATCGGTTGATTGTTATGCGAAGATTGTTGTTGTAGTTGCAAAGCAAAAACTTCTGCTGGTTTTGTCTAAAGATAAATTGGTTGTAGTTTTTTTGCGTTATTGGAATAGTTGAAAAGATGTTGGGCATTCTGAGGACTGTTGTTACATGCCAAGCTGATGTTTAGAATGTCTGGGTCGATTCTGTTCTGGTAGTCGTTGAGGAAGTGACAATGGTCTGATCTTAATTGTGCTAAAAATCTTCTTGTCTTTCTAGGTAGTGTTTGTTCTATTGGATTGATGATAGGAGTTTGTGTAAATTTAGTGAGTAAAATGGGAAGTGTGTAGTTGTTATTTCATATTGCTTCTCTGACTGAGCTGGTGTGAATTTGTTTGACTGCTTGGCTGATGGTCTTTCTGGTCATTTGGGCATGGATGAACTGTTGAATGGGGTTTTTCAAGTTAGGTTAGAGAATGTTCTTGATTTTTCGTTCACTAATTTGTTGGGAGGTGATGTGGCAAGGGTGTGTTAGGTTTTGACATTGTATTAATATTTGTGATGAAATCAAATTGGTATGTTGGATAATAGAGAAAATTTTTGCATTCATGTTTAAGATACTCTTGCAAAGTGATGTTGTGGAAGCCTGTTGCAATTCGAAGGGCGTTTTTTTGAATTGCTTGTAGTTTTTGATGACTTTGTTTTTGAAAAATTTGGAGATCAGGCTGGACAAACGTATTCTATCTCTCGTCTGAATATTGTTTTATAAGTTTGTATCAGTTTTTCTTTATCCTGACTCCAGTCTGTCCCAGATAGTAGTTTCTTTTGGCAGCTTTTATTTTATTGAAATTTGGTGATGTAGAGAAATTGTATCAAACGTTAGACCGAGGATTTTTGGTCATGTTCCAGAGGTAATATAAAATTATTAATTTTAATTTAAGGATATTTGAGGATTTTTATTGGGATATATGAAGAGATTTTTTTTTAAAAGTTTGTTAATTTTGGGATGTAATTATCGAATTGTTCAATCAGGTCATTGATGAAAGTTTTGTGATTAACAGTGTCGAATGCTTTTGATAAATCCAGAGCGGTATTATTGTTTGATTAGGTGGTCTTTTTTTATTGAAGCCTATGAAGATATCAGTGGTAACTTAAAGGAGAACCGTGTTTGTTGAATGCTTTGATCAGAAACCGTGTTGATGCTTGACTGGTGTTATGTTCTTGTTACTGATGAGTTGTAGATATTTTTCTAGAATTTTAACTGCTGGAGAAAGTAGTGAAAAGGCGGTAGGATATTGATTCGTTTTCAGCTTTATCTGGTTTAAGTATTGGAAGTGTTGTGCATGTTTTTAAAGATTGATTGAAAATGTGAGCAAGATAATTAGTTCCGTTTTGTCCTAAATGTTTTAGATGAAATATTGTAAGCTGATCTGGGCCAAATACTTTTGATTGTCTAGCTTGTTTTATGGCATTAATTGTTGTTGATGATTCTATTTATAGGATGTGATGAAGACTTAGATTTTTAATTTGACGATCTATGATCTGTTGGTTTTATTAGTTGTGTGTTATATGAAGCTTGTAAATTGTTTGTTGAATTTGTTAACTATGGTTTGAGGGCTAATTATTGATTTGTTTTTGAAGTTGATTACTACGTTAGGTGATTGTTTTGTTTACCATTTATGTTCTTTATTGCTTGCCAGAGTTTTTTCAGAGTTAACTTTGTCGTTGAAGGGTGATAGAAATTCATGCAATTTTGATTTTTTTTCTCTCCATTGGTTAATTTCCTGATTAATTTGCCAATTGTTTGTACGTTATTTGAGCTTGGATTTGTTTGTCTTTGGTTGATGAAATTAATGATTTTTTTTTGTTGAATCCAGGTTTGATAAATTTTTTTGGCTAGTTGGTATAGTGCGTTTGCTTGTTTCATTGGATGATTTTTTCTGTTTTGATTGGGCGTTGTGGTTTGATGGCGGATGCAAATTTTATTTTTGTTTCGGTAGTGTATTTTCCTCAATCTGCTTTGCTTTGTTGATATTTATGAAAGTTTCATGAGAGGTTTTAGTGTATTGATAATCAAATTCTATAGATACCTGTATAGGCCGATGGTATAAATTGAGTTGTAGTTTTGTTATCCATTTGATTAAATGAATAATTGAATCGCTGAGTATGTTGATTATTTTTGGGTATGTTAATTTGTGTTCCGGATGATGAGTTGTCTATTTCTTGTGTAATCTCTTCGTTTTTTTTACCCTGAATAGTTGAGTTGTGTCCATTGAAATAGCCAAGGATGATTGAATTAGGTACATTTAATAATAAACTTGAAAGAAAACAATTGTTTGGGCAACTGCTATGGGAAGATATCTAGTTATTATTAATTGTCAAATCTTGATTTGAATGGCTTGAGCTTTTTAAATTGCGTTGTTTAGAATGTTGAGAAAGATAGATATTGTGAAATGAAATATAGCGGTCCACTTCCAGTTTTGTTGATTCTGTCATTGCGGAATGTTGTGTAGTTTGACACTTTGAGGTCTTTGCTGTTTGGTTTTAGTTTGGTTTCTTGTAATGCAGCTATGTGGATGTTGTGAGTTTGCAAGTGTAGTTCAAACTAGTCTAGTTTGTTTTGTATTCCATTGCAGTTTAATTGTAGAATGTTGAGATAGTTTAAGTTTTGAGATGTCTTGTTGTTGGTTTAGATGGTTATGACGAAGTGTTAATGCCTGTTAATAGAATTTTTGTAGTTGTTGATTTGACCACAATTTTGATATGTCTATTGTTACCAGTTGTTGAATTTTTGTTGTTGTGATTTTGGGATAAATTTGTTGTTGTTGAGATGGTTTAAAGGAGAGCCAGAGTTCGCATGAATACCAACCATTAGTAGTAGTAATTGAAGTAGCACTCATGAATGGTTCGCGTGATCATTTGATATGGGAGTTGTGTTTGAACAGTTTGCTCTCTGAATTAACAATCAGTCCTATTGTGTTGAAATTGTCAAGAACTACGATTGTGTCATTTTTATGTATTTTCTGAAGGGTGGTACGAAGACATTTGGGAGACATATCTTTTATCAATTTATCAGGGTATCATATGGCGATTTTTTGCAAGTAAAATGCGCATTTACATAGGTTTTTCCTTCCAAGACTGGTCTCAGTAATGTTTTTGAGTAAGTTTGATATTTGTTGTTGTAAGTTTTATGAGAGGCTTTAGAACGGGCAGCAAAACTAACACCATGAATCCGCGGATTATTGTTTGATAAACATTTCTAAAAAAATGTGTATCCTGCCCCCACTTTAACCAGAGATTCTTCGTCCGGCAGTCGGGTTTGAGACAGTGCGGTGCAGTGCAGTGACAAAATCGAGGGCAATAAGAGCAATGCGCCACGCAGGTCGTTCCGTTACAATTTGGTCTAAAAGCGTTTGGACGTTCTAAGTTTAAAATCGAATATGTCTACGAGTAGATTCTTGTTTTTGATCGCTAATGAAGATGCCCAATGAGCGCGGTTACCAATTTAGAGAAAGGTTGAGCAAATTTTAGGCCACATTTTCTAGGCCTCTCCTCACTTTGAGATGAGCAGTGTGAGTCCTAAATAGGAATGCTCAGTTGCCCTGGAAGCTGCCGAAAAGATTTGTCATTTTCTTTTCCAAGTCACAGTATAACTATCGCCGCAGGTTTTTAAAAATTCTCCTGTCACCAGTATTAGTGTGTGAAACAGATGCAGGAAAATTTTAACGTGGAAGAAGTTTGCGAAAACTCTCGGTTCACAAAACTTTGTTGCAGCCGTCTGAACCCAGTGGCATGGACAGTCTCCAAGACGACCAGGAAAGGGTTGCCGGTAAGTTCTATATGATGAAAGCCGCCTAATGCGTAATCTCAACGCGGTTTGCGATTGGAGTTTTTCTTCTCCTGGACAATGTGATGTGCTATCCTTAGCTTTGAACTCCATCCACTCGGGTTTTGTTATCGTAGTGTGTTTTCTCCTGGTTTTGAAATCAGAGTTAACATTTTTTTTGGTAACTTAATAGTTGACGTTGACTGGGTTAACGCTCCTTCTGCTAGTAGCATTACCCACAGAGAGCTGGTATTTAGGAGCAGAACGTGTGTCAGAGGGCATATCCCAGGATTTATCGCTGCACCTTTGATCAGTAAAATACAGCCCTTGAGACCCATACCCCATTTTTTTCTATATATATATATATATATATATATAAGCGTGTGTCAGAGGGCATAACCCAGGATTTATTGCTGCACATTTGACCAGTAAAATACAGCCCTTGAGACCCATACCTCATTTTTTCTATATATATATATATATATATAATATATATATTTAGAAATTATATACACTATACACAAACACACACACACACACACACACACATATATATATATATATATATATATATATATATATATATATATATGTTGGTAATAGACCATAATTTTTACATTCTATAAATTCTACCGAATGTTTGGCGTTAATATGTTTGTAGTTCATTTTTTCAATTTTTCTCACTAAAGTTTTTTGGTGAACGTTTAGTTTATTAAAATTCAAAATAAAATTCTTTTCCGAATTCATGCTGCAAATAAGGCCATATTTCGATTTCGAATGAATCGAAATATGGACTTATTTGCAGCATGAATTCGGAAAATAAGTTTAATTTGAATTTTAATAAACTATATATATATATATATATGATATGTGATATGTATGATATATATATATATATATATATATATATATATATAGGTGTGTGTGTTTGTTTAAATGTATATCAATTCAATCATCGTTAACGTCCAGAGACCCAGTTCTCTCAAGGTAGGGCGTTCTCCCGAGGTAGGACGTTCTCCCGTGGTAGGACGTTCTCCCGTGGTAGGACGTTCTCCCGTGGTAGGACGTTCTACCGAGGTAGGACGTTCTCCCGAGGTAGGACGTTTGTTAAAATGTTATATATATATATATATCAAAATCAAAAATTCATTTATTTAAATCCGAAACACAAAATGAAAATAAAAGAAAGGATTTGAGATTGTGAGGATTTACGGAGATCCCATAAGAAAATCAAAACTTGTACAGACCACCGTGATACGATATGCAATTTAAAAACAAAATCACGTTTGAATACATACACTGATGTACTAAAAGTAATAAATATATGGATCTTCCTTTTTCTACATATATAAACACATAAGTATGCATGAATACATATACTGATGTAATAAAAGCAATAGATATATAAATGTTCATCTTAGTACATATATAAACACATAAGCACATATGAATACATATACTGAAGTAATCAAAATAATAGATATATAAATGTTCAGCTCTGTACATATATAAAACACACAAGCATTATTTTAGCATATATGAATGAATACATATACCGATGTCATATATAAATACATACGCACATATGTATATATATACTGATGTAATCAGCATGCATGAATACATATAAACACATAAGATATATAAATTATTCGTTTCCATACATATAAAAACCCATAGTCAATGGGTAAAGTCATATTGACATTAATATGAACATACATATACTGATGCAATAAAAATAATAGATATATAGATGTTTATTCTTCCACATTTATAAACACATACTCACGTATGAATACATACACTGATGTAACAAAAGTAATAGATATATGGATCATCGTTTTTCCACATGTATAAACACATAAGTATGCATGAATATATATGCTGATGCAATAAAAGTAACAGATATATAAATGTTCATACCTGTACATACATAAACACATAAGCACATATGAATACATTCACTGAAGCCATCAAAATAATAAATATATAAGTGTTCAGCACTGAGTATATATGTAAAACACACAAGCATATATGAATGAGTACATATACCGATGTCATAAAATTAATAGATATATAAATGTTCGTTTTTCCACATATATAAACACATAAGTATGCATGAATATATATATATATACTGATGCAATAAAAGTAACAGATATATAAATGTTCATACCTGTACATACATAAACATATAAGCACATATGAATACATTCACTGAAGCAATCAAATAAATATATAAGTGTTCAGCACTGAGTATATATGTAAAACACACAGACATATATGAATGAGTACATACACCGATGTCATAAAATTAATAGATATATAAATGTTCGTTTTTCCACATATATAAACACATATGTATGCATGAATATATATACTGATGCAATCAAAATAATAGATATATAAATGTTCTTCCTTGTACATATATAAACACACAAGCATATGCGAATACATACTGAAACAATAAAAATAATAGATACATAAATATTCGACTTTGTACATATATTAACACATATATGTACATTAACTAAAACACCAACGTACAATCATCATCATCCCATATGATCATCAACCATTAATAACATCAAGAACAGAATCATCAGCAACAGCAACAATATCAACAGTACATTCAAAACCAAAACACAATTTATTATAATTTTTCCCTCACCTAAATTATTTATACTTGAACTAATTTTAAGTATATTCGAGCCTCAAGGTGGCTCATACAGCTTAATAAAAGATTTAACAGCATTTTTAAACAAGGCAAAGCTAGAAATATTCTTTACAGAAGCAGGTAAAATATCATCCCAGATTCTTGGACCATTAAAAAAAATACTTTGATGAATCAATTTCAATCGGACAAGGTATAAATAAAAAGTATTATGTTGTTTAGTAGCCACATTATGAATATCAGATTTGAAATGAAAACAATTATTAAAAAATGGTGGCAATAAACTGTGTACAAACTTAAAAATAAATACAGATGAAAAGTAGATGTTCAATTGAAAAATAGTTAGGATGTTGGATGAAAGAAATAAATGATTAACATGCGATCTATAGTGTAAATTATAAAGAATTTTTAAAAAGAATTTTTGCATAATAAATATGTCATTAACAATATAAGCAGGGCTGTTACCCCAAATGATGTTACAATATGACAAATATGGTAAAATGAAACTATTATACAAAATGAGCAGTTTTCTTATTAAATTTGTTCTTTAGTTTATTAATAATAAAAAGAAAATTTCTAGTTTTATTTTTGACTGAAACAATGTGTTCATTCCAGTTTAAATTACTTTGTAGTTATATATATATATATATATATATATATATATATATATATATATATATATATATTAATACAATAGACTCTTTCAGAGTTTGAAAACACGTCCAAACGGAAATTTTTATTTATACAGTTATCAATATATACGCTATAATTTGGACGCTATAATTTAGCCTTAGCTAGTTAACGGCCAGCAGTGAAGTGTTTTTTTTATAAATTTTATTTCAGAATATGTATGAAACAGATGTTACTAGCAGTGATAACGAAAGCGAAAACCATGTGGTTACCTGGAATGATGCAATGGAGACAGAAGGTTTTTCTCTAGATACGGGTTACATTCAATAATTTTTTTATGCTTTTCATTAGAAATTATCTTGATTGAAAAAATGAAAATAATAATAATGAAGGCAGGGATGGTTTGGATAGAAGAATCAATAAATCAATCTTCGTTTTGCGTCCAGAGACACAATCTCCCAAGGTAGGACGTTGTTTTCTTTGCCATCAACTTTTTGCGCCAAATTAGACGATCAGTTGTATCCATTTCATTTAAATTTAGAGCTTTTATGTCTTGCTCGATTGTTTGCGACCAGGATTTATTTGGACGGCTTTTTAGACGTGTGCCAGGTATCTCAACATCTGCAAAAGAAGTTATGGCACTGTTTCCACTTTGTTTGACATGACCAAGCCACCGCAGACGGTGTTGCCGGTATTCGTCCTTTATATCATCTAAACCAGCACGACGCAGTATTTCGGTAGATTTGATGTGGTCTTTCAGACTAATTCGTTGCATCGATCGGAGTATTTTCATATTGGTTCGTTGAAGTTGTTGTTCCAGTTTGGTTGTCATTGGCCATGTTTCTGCACCATATAACAACACCGGAAGTCCTGGTCTCAAACAATCGCGCAAGACATGAAAGCTCTAAATTTAAATGAAATGGATAGAACTGATCGTCTAATTTGGTTGGCGCAAAAAGTTGATAGCAAAGAAAACAACGTCCTACCTTGGGAGATTGTGTCTCTGGACGCAAAACGAAGATTTATTGATTGGTTTTAGAATTTCCGATGACTCAAAAGGGTCCAAATAGAATGAGTTAATTTAAATTTGTTTATCAATTATTAACTTATCTAAACACGTGTTCTGGGACAATTCATACTGAAGCTGGTTTATAGTGTCAATGAAATTACTATTTAGAGCATATGTCAAGACTGTTATTTAAAATATTATTTTTGTAAACTAGTTGGTTAATTGAGATATTAGGCTTTTATTGCACAAAATTTTATCATTAATTTCCAGTTGCATTTCAAGTTGTTACGTTACTCGACTTGGCAAAACATGTTTTTGTGATATGCTTTCTCCGTTTCACGCCTAAATTTGATAAAAAAGTTGAGAAACTTTTTATATTGGATTAGATTTATATTATTGGAATATTTACTTGATATTTCAAATAATTTAGATTTAATTTTTGCTAATTTGATAACGTTTTGGTTAACCCAAGATCTGTTGCGTTTGGAAGGATTAACCGGTGTTAAGGGATCATGGATAATGGTCCGAAAAATCATGGATAACAACACCAAATGAAGTATTTAAACGTTATCCAGAAATGAAGAGAAACGAGAATTTAATCTGGTCGGCAAATTAATGAGTAGGGTAAAATTATGTAAAAAAAAGGCAGGTGTTCAAAATCCAATTTGATTTTGGATCTAAAATCTGTATTAGTATTTAGAAAATCTGTATTAGTATTTGTATTTATTTTATATATAAAACAATAATTCTATTAGTTTTGTTATAAATACAGCGCTTCATAATTATGACAATAATTATCTATGGTACGCAGTGTTGTAAAATGTCTATGCATTGCAAAAGAAAGCTGATAAATAGGACCACATACGAGCGAAGACGTGTGGTCACAGAAAGTTACGAAGTGTAGCAAGTACGAGTTGAAGTGCGTGTGTTTTACAAATTGAGTTCGTTCGTTTACAAGTGTGCAATTATAAAATAATTCATTCTGTAATTACTTGACAGTTTGGCTTCTTTAATAAATTCGTATTGGACAATTTATCGTTCGAGTTGATTCTTATCGGATATACGAACTCTACGGTTGTCGGTCGTAAACAACCCCAGCGAATTTATAACAGTATTATACTTATAGTTCTTAATCTCGTCATCATTCAATTTTTAATCAACTAAATTGCTGATAAACAACCCAACGCCTCCGCCACATCTCGAATCTCTGGCATTTCCCTCAAACCTATATTCTACCCATCCAACCAGGCCAAGGAATAATAAGCAAAGTTTCCGATATAGCTATTATAGTAAATTGAACATTTAAAGATTTTAACAAAATACATAAGTCACCTAATTTATTTAATAAGCTCTGCGAGTTTACATGTAAGATAGACAAATTATCCACAAATTTGTCGTTAATATTAAAAGGGTTATCAATTATATCAGTAGCATAAAATTAATTATAATTGTTTGAAATAAATGAATAATAATTGATAAATCTGGCCTTGATTTTGATTTAAGTTGTTACTAACTGACTGTTTATTTTTAGCACGAATATCCAATCTCTGATGTTCGCATGACGAGGCTAAATTTCGGGATTAAAAATTTCGGGATAATATCTTGATAATATTCTGAACGCAACGTGACAATCATCGTCATTTTCAGCGAGTTCCTGCTTTACTAACAAACGAAAAAACCGAGAAGTATTTGATGTTGAATTGCCTGAGATGCTCCACGACTATCTCCTTGGTACAATTTCACGATGTTGCCCAAATAGATAAGAGCTCGTTTTTCAATACCTTTCACAGAGTTTACCGATTGTTCTGATTATCATTGGAGGAAATTCTTTTTTACGCTTAACAAATTGATTTAAATTATTTTTTTAAAACTGTTGATTACTTTGTAATTTCGAGGGTTTTTTTTATTAAGTTTAATATCATTAATTGAAGATAACTGAAGAATATCATTATCATAATTTTTAGTCCGAAGTAATTTTATTGAATCAGAGGTTACAATGTTTAATGGATTATTTATAACTTCATGTTGCTTGTTATTAAAATTAGTTTTGTGCAATCTATTTATATTTCGAGAGATAACGCACACATTAGAACGGGTGATTTTATTGCACACGTCTTCGAGTTCGTTGTGCAGTTGTGAGACTACCATACAGTTATTATCTAATTTTTCATTTAATTTCAAAAGAAAATCAAAAATTATTTCAATTTCAAAAATTGTTTGAGTAGAATTCTTGGCCAGTCTAATAGGAACTTGGTCAATGTTTAGTATAGTATAAATTGGAGCTAATTCAGAAAGTTTATCAAAAATATACTTTCTCAAATCAACTAACTCACAAAACTTGTCCAATTTTAAGTTTCCCCGCGTTGTCTCAGTAACTAGTTTATATTTCAGTAATTAACGTTTTTCACTATTATTTAGTTCCTCGATAGTGAAAATTTAGAGGCTTCATTTTTGAAACAATTATCATTGATATAAACCTTATTTTCAAACAAAAACACTAAAATTTTGCTTGTGTCTACCAACCGCCATTAATATATATATATATGTATATATATATATTTAAAAAATTCAACACTACTTTCAACATTGTTCAACTTTTTTATATTTCTTTTTAATTTATTAATTTCAGAGAAATTAGACATTTTATTGTTTTTTAAAAATTTTTATTAAATAAATTTGCAAATAGCTATTTGCAAATTTGAAATTAATAAATTAAAAAGAAATATTAAAAAAGTTGAACAATGTTGAAAGTAGTGTTGAATTTTTGAAGTGTTGCGTTAACAACAGTCTGTTACCAAAATATATATATATATATATATATATATATATGTGTGTGTGTGTGTGTGTGTGTGTGTGTGTGTGTAGATTTTCGCCGGGCGACATTCGAATTCCGCACCACGCGGTCCCGAACCGCGTCCGCATACGAATATCCACCCGAGCCTTCGCTTTGGCGGAGTCTTTCCTGGCCGGGATCCGCCACTCTACAATAGACCCTCTCAGGGTCTGAAAACACGGGCCGGGCGGAAGTTTGTTCGCGCCCTGCTTGTTGACTAGAGACGCCGACCTCGTCAACTATCAGCAAGTCTTCTTCAACATCCATTATTTTAAGTAAAATAATTAAGAATAATAGAATAGAATAATCAAACTTCCACGTGTACACTTCTTTTATTCAATAAAAGAAATAAAATAACAAACAAAATAATACAAATCAAACCTCTGTCTTTATAAAAAAAACGATAAATCTAAAATTAATCTATTAATAATACGACTACCAAGCAAGAAACAAAACCTAAAATAAAATAACAAACGACCCGCCTCCATATCTCAACTCGCGGCCTTTTATATCTTTTACCGCCCTATCTACATAACGCTTTCTATATCATAGAACATTCTATACTCGCATCTATACTCTTTTCCTATACTCAGAACAGCGCGTAGCACGCGTCCCATATATTGCTATACTCCCTATATACAAAACAGCACAGCAGCGTCGCATATATAGTATATCAAATAACAAAATATACATGCATAGAATGTCTAGTAAAATATATAGATATATATAGGCGGCACGCCTCAAAGACGCAATCATTATCATCACAATCGTCACAATTTCACAAAATATACAGGCGGCATATTTCAATCGCGCAATCATTATCATCACAATACAGGCGGCATATTTCAATCGCGCAATCATTATTATCACAATCGTCACAACTTCACATATATATTGAAAGGCCTCACAAATATTTTCACTCCAGGTCTCAATAGTCCTAGTACTCCACTGAACACTTTCCATACTTTTTACTTTTTTAGTTAATTCAGTTGTAAATACTGTTTTACAGATATAAAGAACGTTATGAAACTACAAAAGTATTTACAGATAGAAAAGGAGAAATATCATAAAGAACACAGGTCTAGAATAACGTTAGAAAATGCAAAAGCAAGTTTAGAATCAAACAATTTGGCCTACAAAAAGTAAAGTTTATTAAAACAAACTTTCCACGAAATTAATTAATTAATTTATTTTTTCTTGTTTATAAAGAAAACAATACCAATCCCAATTTTTAAATTCTACTAAATTTCAATCTTAGAAAAATAGAAATACTTACATCAGAAAAACTGTCCTTGGAAAAATTGAAATTAGAATTGGAGTTGAAGTTGAAACAATTGGAGTAATTTTTAAATTATATGTTGCATTTTTTAAAATTTTGTGTTGTTTTTATTATCATTTGTATTAGTATTTTCCAGTATATTGTCTGGAATAAAAAATTTGATTTCAGTTATATTTATATGCAAACATTGTTGATTAACATTAAAGAGATAATTTTTTATTTCATTCTAAACATATTTATATATGTTTTGAATGATAATTTAATATTTCCAGATTACAATTAGCGGAAGAAAAAACTAAAAGAATTAATTTGGAAGAACGAAAACAAATGGCCAATGAACTTTTTATTAAAAACCTGGGTTCCACATCTGGGTAGATATACTGTTGTTTTTTTTTAATTTCTTATTTATTATGTTTATTATTAAAAAATTTGTAAATTCAAAACGTTCACAAGATGTTACTTGAATGTTTAATCATTTTAAAACGTTCAACAATATCAGTAGCAATACACTTTGATACGTTCATAACGTGATATCTCTTTTTGCGAATTTTTTGATTCTCTATAGTGCTGCTCTGTCAAATGCAGAATTGCATACAAGTTATTTTATACTTGTAATTAAAATTTCGTGGCTACTTCTATTTTTCACATATTTAATTCAGTGCTGCTTTGGTTTATAAGTTTCTTAGACAAGTAAAAGTAAAAATGGTGTTGGAATTTTTGTCAGAAAACCGCTAGCCCAAGAAGTACTGGATATTAAAAGGATTAATTCACGTCTCATGTGGATCAAGTTTCGCATAGAAAAGCAAACAATGATTATTTTTTCTGCATACGCTCCACAGACAGGCAAATCAAAAGAGATGAAAAATAACTTCTGGACTGCATTCTCTGACACCATCTCAACAATACCAAAATCTGAATCAATCCTGATTGGAGGAGATCTCAATGGCCACGTTGGAGAGAAAACAGATGGTTTAGTCAACGTACATGGCGGTTTTGGCTATGGAGATCGAAATGAAGATGGTAACCGCATCCATGAGTTTGTTGAAAGTCACAGGTTTTGTTTACTGAACACATATTTTAGAAAGAGGTTAGAACATCTCATAACATACAAAAGTGGACCATCAGCCACGCAAATTGATTTCTTCGCTGTCAAGCAACAACACCGAAGGCTATTTAAAAACGTCAAAGTTATACCTGGCGAATCATGTGTCGCCCAACATAGACTCCTTGTGGCAGAATTGGTTGTCGAACTGTCAAACATAAGTCTAAACAAATGCCTTGGAGAATCTAACCGTGGAAGCTGAAAAGCATTATTCATCGATAAAATTTCAACAGATTGTCGCAACACAGTTAGACCACCAATCGCAAGCCAGTACAGTTTGGAGTACATACAAAACCGTTTTGATAAACGCTGCAACTACAGTTTGTGGGAAAACTGGTACAAAACGTCAGCATGAACGTGACACTTGGTGGTGGAATGACTGTACAAAATGCAATAGCTGAAAAGAAAGCTGGATACAAGCAATGGCAAAAATCAAAGTCTGTTGATGACCATAAAACTATCCGTGAGAAGAACAACTATGCAATACGTCAAGTTGCACTGGCTCGGACAGATCAATGCAGAGACTGGCTCACTAAAAGCAAAGGTGAACAAATGAAATTTCTGTATCGTATAGCAAAACAAGCAAAGCGTACGGACAAAGACATAGTTGGTGCCTCATGTATCAAAACGACAAAAATGAGATGGTTCTAGAACAAGATGAGATCAAGCTACAGTGAAGAGAATACTTCAACTGTCTGTTAAATGAAACAAATCCCATCAATGTCAACTTTGACGCTCTACCCATCGAAGGTCAGATTCCAGACATCACTGTAGAGGAGCTTACAGAAGCTCCGAAAAGCTATGAAAGATGGAAAGGCAGCAGGGCCCACTGGACTCACAAATGACATTATCAAAGCATCTGGTACAGCAGGTATCCAAACGATACTATAACTTTGCCGTGATGTATTGAGAAATTGCTCAATGCCGACTGAATGGAACTATAGCATGACAGTTCCGCTATACAAAGGCAAAGGTGATCCATTGAACTGTTCATCAAATCGGGGTATACGTCTGTTAGAACACTTCCTGAAAATTGTGGAGAAAATCATTGAGAGAAGATTAACGTCGTGCATCACAATCTGAAATTATCAATTTGGTTTTCTAGCGGGAAAATCAACAATTGATGCAATTCACATCCTTCGTCAACTGCAAGAGAAGTACCTCGCAAAGCATCAACAACTATCACACATTTTTGTAGAAAAAGCATTTGATCAAGTTCCCCGTGAAGCAATCAGGTGGAGTCTACGTCGACAACTCATTCCAGAATATCTTGTTCGACTTGTGACGGAAATGTATACGAATACTAAAACTCTCGTCAGCACAACGGTTGGAAACACAGATGCATTTGACATCAGCGTTGGAGTTCATGAAGTACCAATTATTTTTGAACAACGTTTGTGACAGCACTGCTGACACTTGATTGAATTGTTACCTACACCAGCTTTACAAAATGAAGATGGCCATTGTCCAGTAGTTAAGGATTGGATGGCTTCACCAGTGTTCATTGCTTTGGTTTTGCTGATGTTGACTTTGAATCCATGATCGGCGAGTCTGGTGTTCCAATCTTCAAACATCTGTGCTGCATTCTGCTCAGACGTGGCTATTAAAACGATATCATCATCATATATTAGATTCCAAATGTATTAGATTCCAAATGTCACCAGTGCGTATCGGTTTTGCTGATTTCTTTTATCACAGCTATAAATACCAGTGAACTGAGAATCGTACCTTGGTGAACTCCCACGCCGATGGCAAATGCATCTGTGTTTCCAACCGTTGTGCTGACGAGAGTCTTAGTATTCGTATACATTTCCATCACAAGTCGAACAAGATATTCTGGAATGAGTTGTCGACGTAGACTCCATCTGATTGCTTCATAAAATATCAATTATTTTTGAACAATTTTGTGACACCACTGGTTGCACTGCTGACACATGAATGAATTGTTACCTACACCAGCTTTACAAACTGAACCGGGCCATCGTCCAGTAGCTGTGGATTGGATAGGTTCACCAGTGTTCATTGCTTTGGTTTTGCTGATGTTGACTTTGAATCCATGATCGGCGAGTCTGGTGTGCCAATCTTTAAACATCTGTGAGCATTCTGCTCAGAAGTGGCTATTTAAACGATATCATCAGCATATACTAGATTCCAAATGTTACCAGTTCGTATCGGTTTTGTGATTTCTTCCATCACAGTTATAAATAACAGTGGACTGAGAATCGAGCCTTGGTGAACTCCAACGCCTATGTCAAATGCATTTTTGTTTCCAACCGTTGTGCTGACGAGAGTTTTACTATTCGTATACATTTCCATCACAAGTCGAACAAGATATTCTGGAATGAGTTGTCTACGTAGACTCCACCTGGTCAAATACTTTTTCAAGGTCTACAAAAATGTGATAGTTGTTGATGCTTTGCGAGGTACTTCTCTTGCAGTTGCCGAAGGATGTGAATTGCATCAATTGTTGATTTCCCCGCTAGGAAACCAAATTAATAATTTCCGATTGTGATGCACGACGTTAATCTTTTCTCAATGATTTTCTCGATAATTTTCAGGGAGTGTTCTAACAGACGTATACCCCAATACGACGAACTTTTGCCTTTGTATAGCGGGACTGTCATGCTATAGTTCCATTCAGTCGGCATTAAGCAATTTTTCCAGATTTCACGGCAAAGTTGTAGTAACGTTTGGATACCTGCTGTACCAGATGCTTTGATAATGTCATTTGTGAGTCCAGAGGGCCCTGCTGCCTTTCCATCCTTCATAGCTTTCAGAGCTTTTGTAAGCTCCTCTACAGTGATGTCTGGAATCGGACCTTTGATGGTTGGAGCGTCAAAGTTAACATTGATGGGATTTGTTTCGTTTAACAGACGGTTGAAGTATTCTCTCCACTGTAGCTTGATCTCATCTTGTTCTAGAACCATCTCATTTTTGATACATGAGGCACCAGCTATGTCTTTTTTCGTACGCTTTGCTTGTTTTGCTATACGATACAGAGATTTCATTTGTTCACCTTTGCTTTTAGTGAGCCACTCTCTGCACTGATCTGTCCGAGCCAGTGCAATTTGACGTCTTTCATAGTTGTTCTTCTCACGGAAAATTTTATGGTCATCAACAGACTTTGATTTTTGCCATTGCTTGTATGCAGTTTTCTTTTCAGCTATTGCATTTTGTACACTGTCATTCCACCACCAAGTGTCCCGTTCATGCTGACGTTTTGTACCAGTTTTCCCACAAACTGTAGTTGCAGCGTTTATCAAAACGGTTTTGTATGTACTCCAATCTGTACTGGCTTGCGATTGGTGGTCTAACTGTGTGGCGACAATCTGTTGAAATTTTTCTCGAAATTTTTCCACGTTTTGATTTTCCGAAGCATTTGTTTAGAGTTATGTTTTGACAGTTCGAACGGCAAAAAAAAGGCAAAATGACTTTCTTGTATTTAAATTGTACTTTAAAACAAAATAAGAAATAAAAACAAAAATACATGGAACGGATCATGTAACCTTAACCTTAAGGATATCCAGGTTGCATTGACAATTTAACTAAAATTTCTGACGATACGTGCCATGTCGAACCCTTTTTGAATAAATTCACAAAGTACATTAGTCTTTGAAATAATCGATCTCACATTCATTAAATTCAATGTAACATTTCATTTTATTTTTTGATAATTTATTAAATTAACTATATTTGAATTTATTTAGCTATTACAATTTATAATGTTGATTTTTTTGGTCATTGAACTATTTTCCTACTGAACTCTGTTTAAAAATCTTAGTATATCTTATAACAAGAACTTTAAACTCTTAATTTTCTTTGGTTCAGTCATAACTTAAACTTATTAGTGCAAATTATCTAACGATTTCAATTTTTAGACGTTCCTCATTATTTCGCTTTTGGGTGCAACACTATTTTCTAGCTTTATCAACAATGGTCTAGTTTTTAATTCATCTCTCTTACCAAGCCGCATTAATTTAACAACTTTTTTTCTGACACGTCAACCGTCAAGTGCTTCAATATCTTATGTGTATCGGAGCGGTCACCGTCACTTTCTGACAACCAAAATATTAACAAGTTTGATTCTCTTTCTTTTAAATCGTTCGCATTTTTTCGACCGATGTACTTCATTATTGATGACTTCAATGTTCTATTTATACCTTTTTACTTTCACTCATTTCAATTTTCGGCTTTTGTATTACATTTTGTAAAACAGCATCTGAGCGATCAGTTTCATTTTATTTTCTTTTATTAAAATTTATAATTAATCTAATACTTTCTATTTCTAATTTAACATTAAGATTTAGTTTATTTAAATCATTTAATTTCGCAGTCATTTCGCTTCTATTACCATCAATAGAATTTGCCAACGAAGTCAAATCAGGCGATGATTTTCATGCTTTGCAATATCATTTCAAATTTTAATAATTTCTCAAAATTTCGAGGACATCTTTCCAATCTGCAAATGTACAACACTTTTACAATAATTAGAACACAGTAATTCTTTACTTTGAATGGTCTTTGAATAAGTCAGACAGTTATTACGAGAAACCATATTTTCATTTCCCTTATATTAAGATCACGTGACCACTATTCCTTAGCAAAAACCTTATCAAAATCAACTATAAACCCAAAATTTTGAAGCGAAATAAACACTAAATTAATCTGCAAAATTTTCTAGAACAAATTATCTAATTTGCAATTAAAATTGATCGCTCAGATGCTGTTTTACGAAGTGTAGTACAAATGAACTAATTTAAACGAATATTTAATAACTGCAAAAAGTTTTCAACCGTCCACCTGCGAGCCTATAAAAATATTCAAATACGAATATATATATATATATATATATATATATATATATATATATATATATATATATATATATATTAT